GATATATTTTTCATATATACATACATATAATATATATAAATATATGAAAAATTGATGTGGGTACTCAAATGAAAGGTTTTGATGAGTGTAACATCGGGATGAGCTTATATCTCAAAAAATGTTAATAGATCACAAGATACAATGTCATTTCTTAATTATGTATCGAGAGATAGAGCATTTTCGAATGCAGCCTAAATACTTATCATCATAAATTGATTATTCGTGAGAATAACATGAAACTTTGAAAAAGCACAACTTCAGGTCAAGACTTTTCCAACATTACCAAATTTCACCATAAGAACTTTTTTTGTCATATAAATGCACTGGCCACAAAATTTTGTTCATTCTCTTAATAATATAGATAATAAAACACTTTTTTACGTCATAAAAGAAATGATAATTTTTTTAAATAAACTTAATAATAATAAATAATTATAATAATACATTTAATGAATATTTTCTTCTTCTTGCAGATTATATGAAGCTCTAAATATGATTTCTTGATATTTCTTTCCTAACAAAAAAAAATAGCTACGATTAAATATTAAAGGACGGATAAAATAAGAAGATATTCAAGAAATTGTTGTGTAAATTTGGCTATATTAGACTGTATTTACAAGTTCAAATAGCACAATATATTGCTCATCTTAGAATAATTTTTATTAACAGGAGTTAAAATTTTGTCTATTTGTTTCGTTTCTTCTTTTATTTTATTTATTTTTTTTTTTTTTTATCTTATTTGTTACTTAAACAACAAGTCATTCACTCGAATTACATAAATACCACTTAGAATAAAGTATCTGCGTGAACATTTGAAATAATGAAACCATATTAATTAGCGAAACCACAAACTATTTAACAAAAGATAAAATAAAAATATCCAAGACTACAAGACACTGTACAAGGACTGATAAAAAATTGACTTATAAATAACTATTTAAAGTAATGAATAAGTAATTTGTTTTTGTATGTATATATACACACAAAAGTATATATATACCATGCATCATCGTATCAATAAAAATTGTATCTACCTTACATAATCAATTTCTTTTATCACTAATTAAATAGTAAATATATCTACATTTAAATAATTACGATAAACTATTTTATTTTTTCTAAAGGATATTTACGAGCGTGAGATGATCTCGATTTGAAAAAATAAAATAGTTATTTATATTTATATAATAATTAATAATAAATTTAATATTTAATCTTCATCGGATGATCTCTGATATATAGGTCCAAATTTACCCATGTATTTACGTACAAAATCCTTAGCTTTATGTTTAACATTTTCGTTGCACTGCAATTCGTCGACGCTTTTACAGTGCTTCAGTTCTTTTGCTAGTACAAAGTGTGTAAGCTGAAAAATAAAACAGAATCCATTGTTTTAAATCGTTTTTGTCTAGTCATACAGTGCAATACAATATAATTTAATAAGGAGGTCCTTTCGCCGCCAATGTAAAATAAAAAATATTAGATTATGAGTAAATTCAATTTTTTTCTAATAGTTGAAGTCCTTATTTATCTAATAGTGAGGTTTAAATTATACTTTACCGGACAAATTTTTAAAAAAATAAAATTTTTAAATGTTAGTACTTGTTCAGAGTCTTACGAGAAAGTCAGACGTTTGCAGTATTTCTCGAATTATACTATCAGTCATGGATTAGATGAAGTAAAAAAAAACTAAAAATTAGATTTTCGAAATATTCAGGTTTCTTTTTTTGCAATAAAATATATCAGTTACCAAGATATTTATTGAGAAATTAATATTTAAAAATCACAAAAAATTCTCAAGTAACCTACATTAAAATGGAATCAAAACATTTGGCAACGTTGCGTAGCGCGCGAGCTTCAGACCATTCAATAAATTCAAACTAATTTATTTTTCTGCCCTCCGGCCGGAAAGTGGCAACTTTCTGGCCGCTGCGCTAAATAAAGTTGCCACATTCCGGCTACGTCGAGCAGAAAAATAGTATACACACCTTGGCCAGTAAAAAGTAAAGCCTCAGACTACATGTTTGTCAACCTCGGCTTCGCCTCGGCCAACAATTACATGTGGTCTGAGACTTTTCTTATTTTACTGGCCTAGGTATGTAATCTACTATATTTACACTGACTGCAAAAACTTAAACGTGGTTAAGGTTATATTGTGCAAATGAAAATGTAAACAACCGAAGTACAGCGTTGCCAAATCACGGACAGGTTACTAGCAGCTGATTTGAAAGAGTCAAATTAATTTTTGTATTTAACTATTTTTTTTTTTTATTTTCAAAATTTCAACGATTAATGCCTCATATACTATTTATTATTTAATTTTAGGAATTTTTATGGGTTTTTTATTTTAATTTATCGTATATTGTTTTGACTCAACTGGAGCGAAAGGATTTCCTTAATGTAAAAAATAAAATAAAAAAGTTTGGAAAATCCAAAGTGCACGCCTCATAATCACGCCTCGGCGTCCCGAGTTGCTCTGGAAATTATTAGAGTTTAGATGTTTGTTTAGGAAGTTATATATATATATATATTTATTTTATTTTTTTAATTAGGAGATACTTGAAAATTTTTTGACGTTTTTTAAAAAATATACTAGTTTTAGAAAATTTGTTTAAAAAATTTGATTTATTGTTTTTTTAGAGCTTTTAGATGCTTTTTTTGAAATGTCGAGAGTAAACCACTACCTCAACGTTTCGCTTATGAGGCGTGCAATAAAAGACCAGCTTAAAATGTTTTAACTGCTAAAAAACAGCTCACCTTTCTCGCTAAATATTTAAAATCTTCCGTGTTTGTAATGCGTCCCTGCTTGCAGTCATGCTGACGATAAGGATTCAAGAATCTGACGATTACGTTCGCCATGTTTATCCTGAATGTATCCTTTATTTTTCGCTCGGTAGTGAGCTCGTTCGACTCGGCAATCGCTTGTAACTTTATTGCCGTGTGTCTTGCGTGGTATTTTGCTTTATTAGCACGTCGATGTTTCTTTAATTTCTCCATTTGTTCTTTCAATTTGGCTCGCTCTTTATGCCTTCGTTGCTTTTCTTTGATCTCCTTGTACTTTCTGTGATCGACCTTTTCTTCTCGACGAGGCTGTTAATAAAAAAGTCAAGTGTTACAATACAATTTAAATTCATTGAACATATAAACATTAAAAAAAAAAAAAGTAATTTTTTAGATCTCAAATTTTTTTTAATTTATAAAATTAAGTTTAATTGTGAAAATTCAAAAAGTTTACTAATTAATTAATTTTTTATTTTTGATGCAGAATATGAAAAAAAAAAATATTTTTTTCTAAAAATTCCATAAAAAATTTCTTTTAAATTTAAGTTTTTCATATTGTTCAAGAAAAAAAAAGTAGATAAGGTAAAAGACCCAGTTATTGACATTTCCAATTTTATTTTAATTAAAAAAAAACAAATCAACTCTAATAAATTAATAAATACAATTTTTTAATTATAAATTTTAAGAAAAATTTATTTTTTGAGAGCATTTTGTTATTTTAATTAGAATAAAATTGCAAGTGTCAAACAACTAGATCAGTGTCAATAACTGGGTTTTTTACCTTACTCTAAAATTAATGTCTAAAACAAATTTTAATAAAAAATAAAACTGTCTATTTTTTTTTTACTTTCAAATTGAAAATTTAATAATCTTAATTATGTTCATAGCAAAAAAATAAAAATAAATTAGTTTTTTAATAAAAAAAATAAAAATAAATTAATTTTCTAATTTTTTGATAAAAAAAAATGTAAGTAAATTAATTTTCTTATTTTTTGATAAAAAAAATTAAAATAAGATAATTTTTTGATTAAAAAAAAAAAAAACTTACACTTATTATCCTTTCTTGAACAAGCCCATCTCTTCGTTTCTTAGGTTCCGACGGAACACCAGCACTCCCCCGAGGATTCTGTTTAGTCGGAATCCTAATCTGCTCCAAAACCCCCCTAAGCATTTCAGTATCGTCATGATCATCATCATCCTCGAGATCATCAATCTCCTCCTCGGATGAGCTGGACTCTTCACTGGATTCCGAACTAGAACTAGTATCTTGCTGGCCACCAATATGAACCGGAGGTGGCGGCAACCACTGTGAAATCCGTTCTTTAACATGATAAAAGTAGCACCTACCCCTAGCGTCTTTCGCACACTTCCACTTGGGCGGCAGATCAATAGGCGGTAGCTCAACAGTCTGTTGAACCGGAGGTTCTGGAGTTTCTTCAACAGCTTCCATGGGAGTCGGGGTGAACTGTTCCACGGGTTTCTCCATAAAAACCGGACAGTGAGCCTGCGGAATGGGCAACGGCGGAGTGGACCCATTATGAATGGGCATCATACTACCAGGCATCATATGTCCGTCTGGCGTGAAAGGTGGAGGTGGATGAACTCCAACCATCGGTCCAACGTTGTATGGCACCGGGGGCTGGGTCATTCCATACGGCGGCATACCCGGAGGAATTTCATTGGGCATAGGATGGGAATTCTGATTGGGAACCGGCATCACCCGGTTGTTCATGAACATATCCGGATGTTGAGGCTCTTGCAGAGGATAAGACTGCCACTGGCCCAAAGCCGGGTTAAAAAACAACGGGTACCCCGTCTGAGGATCAACAGCAGCAGTAGTATGTGGATCCATGCCCAAACCATGACACCTAGACTCGTGTTCTTGCCACATTTCTTGCTGCTGCCTCCTTAACCGTTCTTCCTCCTCCTTAGCGACCTTCAGCGCAAAAAGCTGTCTCCGTTCAAGCTTGGACAACCTCGACATAGAATCATTTGTTCGTTTGTTGTCCTTACGATGATTATCCGGCTCAGGACTGTCTCTACCTCGTCTCCGGTCGTACCTATCAGATCTGCGCCTATCATAAGCCGAAGTCGAAGAAGAAGAAGAAGATTCTTTAGCCTCCTTTTTCAGATCTTCTCTGTACCCACTATCAGCTTCTCTTTCATGCTCTTTCATCTGCTCAATCCTTTCTTTCTTTGGTATCCGGAACACTTCTTTAAGACTCAGCCAGTCATTCAACAAATTATTCGCCAGCTCTTGAATAATTTTAGCATGATCCGGACCAGTTGGACTAGCATCTCCACTCCCAAGTTCTTCTTTTTCATTCTTATCTTTCTTACTCAAGCTTGCTGTTTCACCAGACTTGTCATCATTATCACAGTTACCTTCAATTTCTTCAACCTTCAATTTATCAGCTTCATCTTTGGGAGATTCAGACTTGGGGGACAAATACTGTTGATCGGACCACTTTTGAACAACACTATAAACTTTACTGTCCATCAGCATAGTTTTATTAGGAATTGGCAGTGTACTGAGAGTCTTGAGCAGCTCCAGTCGAAACAACATCGCTTCTTCGGTCTCCAAATTAGCAACATCCATCATGTAGCTCCACATCAGCCTGAGACCATGATAATCCAAGAATAACCTTCTGCAAGGTTGCTCGCCACTCTGAATGAGCTTCAACAACCTGGTCCGGTGCTCAATTTCCCTACTACGAACCATCAGCCGACTCAGGGTCAAAGTATGCGCGCGATTTTTCAACCCGCCTATACAAAGCTTATCAATCTCCTCATCCAGATCTTCATCCTCAACATAAACCTTCTTGACCTCTCTCTTCTTCTTGACATCCTTATCTCGTTCTCGTTCTCGAGTCTCTTTCTTCTCAGTCTTCTCCTTTTCTTCCTCCGGAGTCTCGCCGATCCACCCGCGGCAGTTCGACGACTCACAAAAACACTTCTGGGCCTCCTTACCGTACCTCTGAAAGTGGTAGTCAAAAGTAATCTCCTCGCCAGCGGCAATGAAGCGCCGATTAAAGAAACCGATCCTCAGCTCACCATTAACTGTCCACTTTTGAGTCTCAGCATTTGGGTCGCAACTGTGATTAATAAATCTCGAGATATTACCTTTCATTGTCGCGTCAATTATCTGATCAGATTTAAGCGACATAAAATAGTAGTGCTTATTCTTGTCCTTAGAATATTCTTTAGCACGCTTTCTGAAGTCTTTAGGGTCAACAACTTCGCCAACATACTCCATAATAAATTCCCCAGCGTCTAAATCCGCAGTCGCACGTAAACCCAAACCTTTTTTGTCCGTCCTAAAAACCTCGCACTTGGCGTAGGAGCAGCTTTGGAACCTCCTATTGGTACACCGATCGCTAACGACACACCTCGAGCCACACTCGATCATCAGCAGTCTATTAAGACAGTCTTCACCGCAACCAAGCTCGCCTCTTTCAATCTCCTCTTCAGTTAAAAAACAATCACAAACCATCCTTTTAGTTTCCTTATTGGTATATCTTTCAGTAAGGTACAAATTTTCCTTCAAATATTCAAACTGACTCAACCTATCTTCTATCTCTTTGTCTTTTTCCTCAGGAACTGCTGGAATTATCGCGGGAACAGGCGAGGGATTCCCAGAACCATTTAAATCCCTAACCTCGCTGTCTTTTGACGAAAAAAGAGGAATTGTCGGAACAGATTCCGATATCGCAGGCAAAGAATTAGATATATCGCTGGTAGTTGGACCAGCAGTAAGGCCACCGAAAGACAGTCGAGATCCAGCATGCATCTCGAGCTCGCTGGACCTTCGCCAGCGGGATTTAACTTTAACAGGCTTTGTCGAGTCTGAATCATAGCCAGTGATCAAGCTGGAGCTGATTGAGGCATTAAATTCCGAAAGAGGAGTTTTAATACTATTTTCTTTGTCCGACTGGGTCTCAGATTGACTATCTGGAGTGTCTCTTAGCGCTTGGACGGGCGTGTTAACCGGCTGGAGCTTGTCGCGCTCCAATGGGAGTTTTAGAAAATCCGCAATGGGCTTAGTTACCAAGCCACGTCCTCTAGATCGCGGTTTCATCAGACCCTGAGAACGAATCCTGCTGCTACGACGTACATTTGAGCTATTGGAGCCGCTTTCGGAGCCAGTGGTGTCGGTGCTGCCACTCCTGCTGCGGAAGCCGACCTTCTTGTCGCCTTCAGCAATTCCTGATGATTTATCACCAAACTCAGGCAACTTGACGCCGTTCAGTGAGACTGTGTCATTGCTGTTGTCGCTACTGCTGGACAATTTAATATCATCAGAGTCTGTTTTAACATCCATCCCACTTTCTCGGGAAAGTTCTTCAACGCTCTGAGATCTGTTGATAGTTTTGCTCTGCTTGAACCCGTCAGTAGGTGTTGGTGTGCGATCCAACGCTCTTGTCTCCGCCGTAGAATCCATGTCTTCTTTAAAAACAATCAATTTTTCTTCAACGGTGTCATTTTTTACACCCTCTTGATTGCTCACATCAGCAAGCTGTTCAGCCAGTTGTTCAGACGGCTTGTTAATAACAGGAGAATCATTGTTAGAATTACTTACACCCAAGGACGTTACATCAACCAAATCAACACTTTCTTTAGGTACCTCGTTTATCGAAATAGTAGCTAAATTTTTCTCCAACTCGCTCGGAGAAATCGAGGGTTCTTTTCGAGGTCTTCCTCGCTTACGTTTAACCGGAACAATGTTTGAATTAGAAGAATCCGAAGTTCCATTCTCGGCGACGACTGGCGAGCTAGGAGACGACACTAGCGACGAATCAGCAATAACAGCGTCAATAATTTTACATTTTTCAAAATTATCACTTACTTTATTTAAATTATTAACCTCGACATTATCCACAACAGTTGATTTAACCTCGACAATATCCGACTTATCACTTAACTTAGTGTCACTGTCATTACTCACCGCTTTATCGTCTTCAGTAACAATTACTTCACTTGATAATTCATCTTTAGCTGAAACAACCTCAGCTTTAACCGAAGTTACATCATCATCAATAGTTATCTCCTCAACCTCCTCTCTGACAAAAATAACTTCTTTCGCTGAAGCTTCCTCGTCTTCTGGCTCGTAATTTTCATCCTGATCTTCTTTAGGTGAAACCTGGTCAGTGTTTAAACAACTTACACTACTGTCATACTCACTAGCTTTAAAACCTTCCTCAGAAGTCATAACCATCGACTCAGTGCCGTCTTCATTTTGAATAACAGTGAACTCAACGACTTCTTTACCCTCGTAATTAGGCTCATTCACCAGCAAAACTTGCTCGAGAACAACAGTGGTATCGAGACAGTCCTCCTCAAGCTGACCATTATTATCCACGTCCATGCTACCGCAGATAATAGTCTCTTCAATAACTTCTCCGTCTTCCCACACCATCTGCCCGGAATCATCCTCGGTAGTAAGATTCGAAAACTCCTCGGTAACTATTATTTCAACGTTGTCGTCATCATCATCTACTTTAATATTCTCAGAGTTGCTGGCATCAAGCTCTACGGTGACATCTGCGATCTTATTAACAATAACTTTAGCACTATCACCATCAACATTTATTTTATTACGATTAAGAGGTTTTCTGCCACGTTTTTTCTTAACTTTTATTGGAACCGCAGCACTTTCGTCACTATTAACCGGATTTACCTGCTGGTCTTCTTGAGCTGGTGTTGTTGTCTGGAAACTAGTGTCTCCATTAACTTTTTTTTCATCCACAGACAATCTTCTGGCGCTCTGACGGGTTGATTTTCTGACAGCTACTGGATTAACGGGCTTTTGGACAGCTCCGGTATCACTTTTTTTACGCCTAGCCATTTTTTATTCTATCCGCAGTCTAATTACCTGAAATTTACCACCGGGTTGATAAAAAATCGATCTTATTGTCAGTCGAAAAATATATTTTTTAATTAAGTGTTAAGTAATAATAATTACGTCTTACCTTGGAATTATTGTGACGAGATTCCCATGGCTGTTAATAATGCCTTCTCACGAGTTTCCACGACAACCCGAGACCTGAGCACAGACGATAACTAAATAACTTAAAATAAAAATTTTAATAATTTTAAATATTAAACTTACGTTTGATTTTAATAAATTAAACTCGATATGTTCCATCAGCGCTGGCTATTAATTTATTTATATACTTTTTTTGTAAATATATCAATGGTGTAATAATTATTTAAAAATTTAACTATTGTGATCTTAACTCGGTCACGGTAGAAAAGTTTTTTGACATTAAAATATATATATATATATATATTGAAGTTAGATAAATAAAAGCGTTGTACCTTGGTGATTAATGCGGGATATATTTACTGGGGTGGTGAAAATGTTAAAAATCACATCGATAATGTTGATATATTTCAGACAACTCTTGTAACAAATTTAGTAACCAAACTTAATTATTTTTTAACTTCTATTTTTTTTATTTATTCAGTTAATTATTTATTTATTTAGACATTTATTTAATTATTATTTTTAAGTGTAATTATTTAACTGATTCTGTATATGTGTAAAATTATAAAAGCAACAGAGATGAAATGTCTAAAGACCACCGTCAAGATTAAGACAGATGCTGAGATAGTTGAGCATCGAGTCTGCAACAACGTGAAGATGGGCATAAATACACACTCGCTTTACTTTACCGGGTGGGAGATACTTTTTCTTCAGGTTGTCTCCGTCGCGTTAACTGATGCCAGTTTTGAGCCGTCACTATCTGCCATCTGGTGGCAGAAAATTTTAATACTTTTTAAAACTTATTTGAATTATGATTTCATATTCTCGAATTAAATATTTTGTTTGTAAATTAATTTGAGAATTAATCATATCAGTTTTAAGTAATAAGGTTAATTAAAAATTGTGCTTTTTTTTTAAATAATTAATTTTTTCACTAAACAAGGTGATAAATCCCAAAAGTAAGTAAAAATAATATGATCTGACATTTTTTTTTATTTTTATGACAATTCAATAGTAAAAAAAAAATTTTTTTTTTAATTTGCACTTGTAATTTTTTTTTTTTTAATTTTTTGGTTTGGAATTTTTTTTATTAAAATTAAGTTATTACAAAAATTAAAAAAATTTATAATTGATAATACTAAAGTTAGCCGACGTTTTTAATTTTTTGATTTTTTTTCATTTATTAAATTGGAACTTAAAAATTTAACTTATAGTTTTTTACAATGGAAATGAAGTTACCCGATATTTCAAAATTTTTGTAAATTTTTTATTAAAAAAATTTCAATTAAAACAATAAAAAAAAAAATTCACATGTAATAAAAAATTTGAAAAACTATAAGTGCAACTTTTTAGAAATATCTTTTTAGTTTTAATTTAATTAATAAAAAAAAATCAAAAATTTTTAGACGTCTGCTAAAATCTTTAGCGTCATTTTTTTACAGATGAAAATTAAAAAAAAAATATTTTTAATAATTTTTCAATAAAATAAATTATTAAAATTTTTCATAAAAAATCAACAGACTTAAGTTATAATTTTAGTCATAAAAATAATTTAATTATATTTACCAAAAAAATTTTTTTGAAACTGAAATCAGTTGACATCTGTCATTTTTTGAATTTTTACAACAAATAAATTAATACTAAAAAAATATTTTTTAAATAATTATATCAAAGTTTTTTTGACACATCTACAAGTGAAATTTTTATAAAATTTTTTGCAATAATTTATTTAAAAAAAAAAATCCTAGAAATCATCAGATGTCAATTAATTTCAGTATCGTAATTTATGATAATAAATTTAGAAGATATTTAATAATTTTTTTAACAAATAAATTATAGCAAAAAACAAAAAAAAAATATAAAAAAATTGACATTTAGAAATTTTAAAAAATTAAAAATGCAATTTTTTAAAAATAATTTTTTGGAAAAAATTTGTTTGTTAAGAAAAATTAAAAAATTCACTAGTGACTGCTAACTTTAATGTCATTCATAATTTAAAAATAAAATTATTTCAAAGTATAATTAATGTCACATTTAAATAAAAAAATTATTTATTTAAAATATAATAGTAATAATATTGAAATAAAATGTTTCAGATAAAAAGTTCACGCTTTAATGTTTAGACCCAGCGTAAAAAAAAACACAATTCAAACAAAATTTCACGCGCAAGCGTCCGTTTATTATTATGATAAGTTAAGAAAGCATTCAGTGGATCGAATAGCTCGATGACAGGCTGGACAGAGCACAGAACCAGTGTCGAAGCCGACCGAGTGCTATCGCTCCGCAGTAAACAGGAATGAGCGATAATAACAATGGACATTGCTGGTTTCATGGACACGTAGGAGTTTCCGTGACGGAAGGGAACACTCGAATGCCAAGCAACAGAAGCTAATGGTCAGTCACGACCTGCCAACGCATCAACTGGAGATGCCGACTGTCGATTTCGCCGATGACAGCAAAACCTGTTTCTGGACTAGGTGAATATTTGATTAATTATCGATTGATCATCATTTGTGTTACTGTTTATTTTATTTGCCTGTACTTTTTAATTTATAATTCATTATTTACTATCGTCTGTTTATTGTAGACAAGAGAGGAGAAAATGGTTTATTTCACTGTACTGTGGGACGTGTTTACTGTACGCTACGCGGACCTCAGTCCCGCTGCTGATGCCAGTTGTCAGCAAAGAGAAGCAATGGAGCAAAGCAGACTCTGGGATGATACTCTCCAGCTTCTTCTGGGGGTACACACTGACCCAGGTAGCCAGTGGGTACATAAGCGATCGGATGGGTGGCCAAAGAGTCATGTGGATTGCTGCTCTAGGCTGGTCGCTCAGCACCTTCTTCATGTCTGATGTCATTGAAATGTTTTCCTCGAGCATTCACTGTGTGTTAATTGTTGCTATTGCTAGGGTGCTAAATGGTGCTTTTCAAGGTATACAAAACATTCTATATTTTTTTAATTGTAAATTGCAAATACTAGGTGCACAAACTGCTATAAGGTAGATGAAGAAGTTATTTGTACTTATTTTTTATGACACTGAACTTGAGTCACTGAACTTGAGACATCTGATCATTTTTAGAATTTTTTTAATTAATAAATTACAAGAAAAATTTATTTTAAAAATTCTATCTTTAAAAGCTCTAAAAAACTATAGATTAAATTTTTTTTCAATAATTTTTTAAGCTTAGCTTATTTTTCAAGAAAAATAAAAAAATTTTGTCCGCTAATTTCAATGTTAAATTTATGACACTGAACTTGAGACATCTGATCATTTTTAGAATTTTTTTAATTAATAAATTACAGCAAGAAAAATTTATTTTAAAAATTCTGTCTTTAAAAGCTTAAAAAATTATAAATAAAATTTTTTAAAAATAATTTTCTACAACTAGTTTATTTTTCAAGAAAAATAAAAGAATTGCCAAGGATCTACTAATTTAAGTGTCATAAATTTTCTTTGATGTGATAATCTGGAGATATTGGAATTTTTTTTTTAACAAGTAAAAGTTATATAAACGTAGTATCTTTTATAATCAAAATGAATTATGTATATAATATTTTTATCCAAGAGAAAGTTAAGTACATGTCATCTTCTCGAGATTAACTTTTACAAATACTTCCGTCATAAAATGATGACATACTTATATTATTCTATAAAATTAAAAAATGTTTCATTTATTTTTAAATAAAAATTAAATAATTAATTTCAGGTATGCATTTCCCCAGTGTAATAAGCCTAACTAGCCATCATCTAGAAGAATACGAAAGAGCTTCGTTTTTCGGGCTGCTTACATCAGGATCAGCACTTGGTACTTTACTCACAGTGACCTTAGGGTCCTATCTGATGAAGGCTTATCATTGGCAAATTGTATTTCAAGTACTAGGTACGTTACATAATGTGAAGACTATAAAGACAATTATATAGAACAATTTCAATTTGGTTTTAGGTAGCCTAGGACTATTATGGACTCTATTTTTATACTACCAAAGTCTGACAGTCCAGAGAAAAAAAATAAAATCAACCGAGGATTCTATTCACAGCACATTGCCCTGGAGGCAGCTGTGGTCTAAATCCCCCTTCTGGTACCTACGTTATCTTATCTCTTGATTTATTATTAATCAGAAAATATTCAGCGTTAAAATATTAATATTAATATTCGAATTAGGTCCTGCGTGTTCACTCATGCGTGCCAGAACAATTGTTTTTTTGTACTACTTTCGTGGATGCCAACATATTTTCATGATACCTTTCCTGATGTACAGGTATTATTTATTTATTAAATTAATTATTTACCACCCAAAAAATAATTAATAAACTAGCAACCTTGCAGTCACTATGTGACTGCCGTGACTTGTGAACTATGAATAAATAAAATTTTACTTTATTAAATAATGATTTTTGTTGAATTAAACTGTACTTTCGTAAACTATTGATGTTTTTAAAGATATAAGCTCATCCCGATGTTACATTCATCAAGAGCTTTCATTTAAGTACCCACATGCATTTTTTTATATATTTTTCATATATACATATATATAATATATATGAAATATATGAAAAATTGATGTGGGTACTCAAATGAAAGATCTCGATGAGTGTAATGTCGGGATGAGCTTATATCGTTTAAAATGTCAATAGTTCACAAGATACAAGGTTGTTTCTTAATTATGTTAAATTTCACTGTACTTTCTTAACTATTGATGTTTTTAAAGATATAAGTTTATCCCGATGTTACATTCATCAAGAGCTTTCATTTGAGTACCCACATCATTTGTTTATATATTTTTCATATATACATATATATAATATATATAAATATATGAAATATATGAAAAATTGATGTGAGTACTCAAATGAAAGGTCTCGATGAGTATAATGTCAGGATGAGCTTATATCTTTAAAAATGTCAATAGTTCACAAGATACAAGGTCATTTTTTAATTTTGTATCAAGAGATAGAGCATTTTCGAATGCAGCCTTAAAAAGGCACAACTCTCGGTCAAGACCTTTCTAATGATACCAAATTTAATAATAAACTCCATTTTATCATATAAACAGATTGGCCATAAAATTTTTCTTATTCTCTTAATAATGTAGATAAATAAATAATAATTAATGCAACTATTTATTTTTAGAGCTGGAAGGTAAATATGATACCCTGGTTATCGTTAGTACCTTGTACGTTTATCGCAAAAATGCTGTCAGAAAGACTTATAAAAACCGGGTACTCTGTAACAGCTACCAGGAAAATAATAGAAACAATTTGTTTAACGACGCAAAGTATTAATTTACTTATCTTGTGTAAGTTATATTGTATTTTATACTATTCTTATTTTTTCATTCGTAAGTTTATGTGGATCGGATTTTTATGCGTCAAGATAAGGCGGTAATAAAATTTATTTATCAATAAAGTGTGTTTTTGCAGCACGAGTGACGACGTTCCCGAGTGCCATGATCTGCTTAATGCTGATTATTGGAGGCACTGGATTTCACAACACCGCAATAGCTGTTAATCCTTCAGACCTTGCTCCTAAACACTCTGGAAGTGTTTTCGGTATTATGAATTCCATCGGCGCAGTACCTGGTACGATAATACTCATTGTTGAAAATGATTGTTTGAAGACATAATAAAAATTATTTATTTTCTTTTTTTTTATATGCCGACAGGTTTCTTGGGTGTTTATTTAGCTGGTTACATTCTACACATGACTCACAGTTGGGCAGCAGTATTTGTCCTTACGTCAATAATCGATGCTCTTGGCTGCATCGTGTACTTGACGTTTGGTTCAGGCCAACCGATTATATAAATAAAGTGATTTTAGATAATATTTAATTGTAAATAAATATTTGTAAATATTTTCAAAAATTTGTAGATAATTAAAATAAATTTTATTATTTAAATTGAAATTATTTTTTTTTAATAATTTTATTATTTAAATTGAAATAATTTTAATAGATAAAAAAAATTTTAAAGGAAGAAAAAATAAATTTTTAGTTGATAATTACTAGCAACTTTGTAGTCACTATTGATGTTTTTAAAGATATAAGCTCATCCCGATGTTGCACTCATCAAGAGCTTTCATTTAAGTACCCACATGCATTTTGATATATTTTTCATATATACATATACTTAATTACTTATAATATATATATAAATATATGAAAAACTGATGTGGGTACTCAAACGAAAGGTCTTGATGAGTGTAACATCGGGATGAGCTTATATCGTAAAAAATGTCAATATTTCACAAGATAAAAGGTCATTTCTTAATTATGTATCTAGAGATAGAGCATTTTCGAATGCAGCCTAAATACTTATCATCATAAATTGACAATTGGTGAGAATGATATGAAACCATAAAAGGGCTCAATTCCAGATCGAGACTTCCAACGATACAAAATTTAACCATATAAACCCATTTTATCATATAAATACACTGGTTACAAACTTTTGCTTATTTTCTTAATAATATAAATCAGAATAAATTTTATAATTTAAATTAAAATAATTTTTTTAAATAATTTCAACACATGAAAAAAATTTTTAAGAAGAAGAAACAATAAATTTTAAATTAATGATTACGATTATAATGCATTTTATTGTTTTGATTATTAATTATTAATTATTTACAAGGATTTTAGACATATAAGGACCATCCAATTCATAGCCAATTTTTCGATAATAATTTCTTGTACCAACGCCTGATATCACAGCAATTTTATGTGAGCCATGTTCTTCCCTAGCAATCCTCTCAGCTTCTTCCATGAGCAGCATTCCGAACCCTTGATGCTGAAATTTAGTAGGGTCTCGCGCGCTGATTGGAACCACCGTACCATAAACATGAAGCTCTCGAACGATAGAACACTTGCCTTGGAGTTCCGGACGGTATGTCTTGGCTCCACACTTCCTCAACCTCAACAACCCAACGAGGATGTCTTGAGTGGGATCTTCGTACGACAGGAATGTCTCCCATCCTTCATTGGCCACGTAGTCTCGGCGTATAAGTTCGACTTCATAAGGCTGGACTTTGTTGTGGATTTCCTGGATTCCAACTTCGCGAGTCCTGACATCACGGCAGTCTGTGCCGAAATCTTTCATTCGAGCCAGCGCAAGCTCCCGTAGGTTTCCATGTTCGACTCCAGAACTCACCAAAGGCATTGGTATATCCCGCTGGACTCGATATACTCTAGTCCAAGGCGGTATCAGCGCTAATATTCTTGCTATCAAGTCGATCAAGGTGCTAGGCGGGTAGCTTTTGTATCTACCAGTCTTCCATAATTCATAGAGACCTGTACCGCGGATCACCAATGTTGGATATATTTTTAAACCGTCGGCTCGAAATGCTGGATTTTCAAAAAATTCCTGTGGAAAAATTTTATAGTTAGTATAATTAAATAAATAAATTATAAATACGAATTTAAACTTTTTAAGCACTTACAAAAAAAAAATTTTTGACTCAAGAAATAAATTATTAAAATATTTTTGGCCTAAAAAAAAAATTTTTTTTTTTTTTCAAAAAATTTTTTTCTTTGCTCAAGAATTGATTTTTTTTTAATCTAACTGCACTATCGTTAATGCTACATTGATTTAATTCCATAATCAAGAGAAAATTATAATCATACTAGTCATTAAATATTAATTTGGTGCTACGGCCTTCAAAAAAATTAAAGAGATCCTAAGAGAAAAAACAGGATTGCGGTGTTTGGTGCAGGAGAGTCACCAGGACAACGACGTGCAAACAAGAGAATAAAAGAAAAGAAAAGAAAAATAGAAAGATTAAATGGAAAGAGAAATAATATATACAGAAGCAAAATATGTAAAAACTTTGCAAGAGACGAAAGTCGTGCAAATAAAACTATATTATTATTAATTTGGTGCTAGATATTGATTACAGTATATCAATTTATATTTTTCCTCATACTGAATATTAATAATTAAATATAAAAATTATATTGCCAATCAGTGTTAGGATAAATGCACCAATTATTGACCGATTAAGATTTTCTTTTTCTGTACTAAGGTATAAAAAAAATATTAATTCATTAACTACAATTAACTAAATTTTATACAATCTAGCGACCAACAGACAGTGTATCAAAGAAATATCTTACAAATCACTTAAATAAATAAATAAATAAATAAAAAGTGCAATTTGTAATGGATTTTATTAAAGTTAAATATTTAATAAGAATTAATACCTAAAAATAAAATAAAAAAAAAAATACTTACAATAAATTGTTCTACATCACGTTCAATGTCTACATTAGGTAAGTCAGGCATCATATGAGCAATTACTTTATATCCAGTATCTTTAGCAATATTAAATGTCTCACAGACTGCTTTAACTGTATGACCACGATTAGTGTCACGAGCAACATCTTCAAAGACTGATTGAACTCCAATTTCTAATCTTGTACATCTGAATATTAATTTAATTAAATTAATTAGTTATAATATTAATTAAAAATTGAATTATTTACTAAAAAAAATTACCCATAACGAAGCATATCAGAAAGATGTCTATTCAAACAATAATCCGGCCGAGTTTCGATAGTGATGCCGATGCACTTAGTCTTGCTTCGTTCTGAAAATCTGACCGCTTCATCAACATTATTACTTATGTGTCCAGATAGCGCGTCGTGGAGATTTCTGATGAAATAATCGCGATAATCCTCAGGTAGAGACATAAATGTACCACCCATTACAATAAATTCAACTTTGTCGACGCTGTGGCCCAATTGCTTCAGCTGTAAATTAATAGAATAAAAATAAATGTAAATATATTTTAATTCTATTTAAAAAATTATGCTTTAGAATTTTAACCTGGTCAACGCGATGACGAGTCTGTAAAAATGGGTCATATCTAGCCCGAATGGCTCTCATAGACGTTGGTTCATATCCAGTGTAAGATTGAGTTGAGTATTCAAAATCTGAATCTGGTCCTCCCGGACAATAGACACAAATGTTACCTGTGAAATTTATGTGCGGACATCTGTGGGGCTTACACATTACAGCGACAACTGCAATCTGAAGATTAAGAAGTTTTAATATTAATTATTTATTTATTTAAATAAACAAACCCAATAGCTTAAGCCATTAACAGGGTAAATAATCAATAATTACAGTGGTTAGCACATAAAAAATTTTTTTTTGATGTATAACAAGATAATTTATAGCTAGTATAGTAATTTAATTGTTACATTGCTAAATGAAAAGACTAATGATGTGTTAGCAATTGCAACCCAAGAAAATAATTCCTTCCTATTTTTTCCCCTTCTTGTTCGGTTCCCCTCACCTCACAGCCTCAAGAAGGCAAATTAATGTAGCTTTGGTTTTTTTTTATCATTTTTAATTTTTCCATTGCGCCAAATACTCAAATTATACCAAATTTAATAAATTAATTAATTACCTTAAGAAAAATTCTATTATATTATTTTTCAATTATAGTAAGTTGATAAGCACATCATGGATGTCAATTCACACTAAAAATATTATAGATTAAGTTTTTTTATTTAATGGCTTTATTACTTAGTTATGTACGCATGTAAAAATTTTAAAAATAAAACTCCTTTTCAAAACCAAAAAAAAAAAAAACCCCAAGAAAATAATAGCAATTAACAAAGAGAAATAATATATACAATTAACATACAATGACAATATATGTAAAAACTTTGTAAGAGACGAAAGTCGTGCAAATAAAACTATTTATTATTATTAATAGTAATTAACAAAAATAAAAAGAAAAAAAAATTAATAATAATAATGATTATTATAACAATTATACAATTACACATATTCAATGGCACTTAGTTGCTAATTTGCCAAGTAATGCTGTTACATAGCCATCAGGACAGTTCAAAGGGTCAAATGAAGCCTCCAATTGACAAAAACGATTTACCGTATTAAAGATACGGAAATCGGTGCTGACTGAGCTAAGTTAGTCTTAGCAATAGGTATATGCACTGGAACATGATTTCTCACACTACACCTAAGACTGGTAAGGTAAAAGACCCAGTTATTGATACTTGCAATTTTATTTTAATTAAAAAAAACAAATTAACTCTAATAAATTAATAAACATAATTTTTGAATGATAAATTTTAAGAAAATTGTTTTTGTGAGAACATTCAATTTTTTTAATTAGAATAAAATTGCAAGTGTCAAACAACTAGGCCAGTGTCAATAACTGGGTCTTTTAGCTTATCTTAAATCTAAACAATGATAGCAATTGAGGACAGTCCACCAAGTTATTGAATAGTTTAGGTGCAAAAGAGAATTTATTAAAAATAAATTAAATATATTAATTACTTTCAAAATATGTGACAATTTTTATAATTACAATTTAAAAAAAAAGTTCACTATGAAAAATAAAAAAAAATATTACATTAAAGTTAACAGTGACTTGATAATTTTTTAATTTTGTTTAACAAATAAATTTTTTCTGAAAAATTATTTTAAAAAATTGCATTTAGAAATTTTGAAAAATTTGTAAATGTCAATTTTTTTTCTCATAATTTATTTGTAAAAAAAAATATGACTGTAAATTGAAAAAAATATTTTTTTATAATTAATTTGACAAAAAAATTCTGAAAAACTGACAGATGTCTTTTGATTTAAAAATAATTTTAAAAAACTTACACCACTGGCTGTTCTAATAGGCTTAGCTTTCAATTTAGGAATCAATTTATTTTTAGCATCAAGAGGAACTGCTGCAATAATATCCACCAGCCTCGGTGAAGACTCCAAACCGTACTTGGATGAAACCCTGGTTTTCAATTTATTCAGATCAACATCCCGGTGCTCGTCATGCGCCACCAGTAATTCCTGGATTACTTCCTGGATAGTCAACATCATTCTCTCTTCTTTACTTTCGATAAAAACTATAAAATACAAAAATTAATTTAACAGATGTTTAATAATTTTTTTAACAAATAAATTATGACATGTAGAAATTAAAAAAAATTAAAAATATCTTAAAATTTTAAATTATAGGTTAAAATTTCTATTTCTAGTTTTAAAAAAATAACCAAAAGTTTTTGGCGCAAATTATTGTGAAAATTTCTTCAAATCTTACCTTTCTTCTTGCGAGCCATCTTGATGATTAATAATTAGCGTTATTTTTTTCAAGTATTTTGAGTAAATTCCACTAAATGACACTTCAAGCACGTGGAATATATTTATTTTTATTTATTCTCAGAATTATTATGATTATAAGTCGCTGGTATATATATATATACACACACAATTGTTGATTATGTCGCACTCTGTCGGTAAGAGAGAGAGACAAAAATAAAAATAAAGGTACTTTTCATTGTTGTAGTTCTGTCATCTGACTTCTGTCAGTAAAATTTATTTACTTGATTCTAAAGCAACAATTTAAGAAGAAAAAATGATGAACATTCACAAAATAGGTATGAAATTATGTAGACTTTGTGGAAAAGAAAAAGCCCGTGGAACAGATGTTTTTGAAGATAAAATAAAAGGAGCTGTTTTAGTTTCAATTATCAATAAATATTTTTCTAAAGATGTGAGTATTGTTTAATAACTAATCATTTAATTTATATTTTAATCAATAATTAATTAAACCGGTTTCAGGTAATAAATGTTTCGATTTCTGATACATTTTCCAAGTATGTCTGCATGGATTGCGAGCAAAAAATATGCAGCTTTGATGAGTTTTGTCTGATGGTAGCCAATGTACAAAAACAGCTCTCTGCTCCGTCCTTAGAAATTGATTTCGCAGAGGTAATTTAGTTTTTTAATCAGTGACAAGTGAAAAAATATTTATAATTTTTTTTATTGAAAAAATTATTAAAAAAAAGTTGATTTTTTTTAAATTTGAAAAACTACAAGTGCAATTTTAAAAATGTCATTTTTTTAAAATAATTTTTTAAGTTACTTAATTTATTAAATAAAATTTAAAGATGATCAGCTGATTTTATTTTAATATATTTTAAATGTCGGCTAACTTAATTTTTATATTAACATAATAAAGTTAGCTGACATTTTTTATTTTGCTTAATTTAGTAAATTAAAAATACAAAATATTTTTTTTTTTGAATTGCACTTACAATTTTTCAAATTTTTTAACAATCAATTTTTTTTATGAAAAAATTATTACAAAAAAAATTTTTAACAAATTGATTTTTTAAAAATTTGAAAACCTGTAAGGGCAATTTTTCAAATATAGTTTTTCAAATTTTTAAAAAATCAATTTTTAATTTTTTTTTTATTGAAAAAATTATTACAAAAAAAAACTAAAAAAAAATTGATTTTTTTTAATAATTTTTTCAATAAAAAAAATTATAAAAATTTTATTAACTTTAAAAATTTCAGGATATGCTTTGTCATTTAAAAGAAAATGAAATAGTAATGGAGAAGCCTGTACTTGTATCAAGAGTGAGAAAAAAGCACATGTGTGAGCAGTGTGCTAAAAGTTTTAGGTGTCAGTCGCACTTGGAGCGACACAAAAGGATTCATACTGGGCAACGACCGTTTATTTGTAATGTAATTGATAATTAAATTATTTTTACTTCTCAAATGAATTATAAACAAAAAGCTGACATCAATGCTGGTTTCAGATATGTTCAATGTCATTCAACCAGCAAGAAGTCCTCCGAAAACACCAAGAAAGCCATCAAGGAAAGAAAGAATTCCGCTGCGAGACTTGTCAGCAGTCGTTTCGCTACAAAATATCTCTAAAGTCTCACATGCTAAATTTTCATTTGGAGCCTGATCAGAGTTCGGCGAATATTTTTGGAAGCAATCCGCTGACTTGCACCGAGTGTGGCAAGACTTTCGCCACGAGATACAAGCTTCAGAGACACGCGAGATGTCACACTGGAGAGCGACCTTACAGCTGTAACTTTTGCAATCGTGCTTTCTCGCAAACTGGCAATTTGAAATTACACTTGAGCAAGTGTTCTCGCGGCAGCATGATTCCTGAAGGAATCGACGTGTCGGGTGTTGATTACGAGTGTCGAGAAAATGAACCAGAGTTGACTAGTCAAAGACTGGAACCCTTCCCGCCTGTTTACATCACAGAAAGCGAAATCCAGAAGACAATTAATGAAACTATCAACTCGACGGATCCTAATTCCTCGTCATATTTAATTAAAAGCTATGACAATCAAATTTATATAGATGATGAAATTGAAACAATTCTTGATCAAGATTTGGGACATCTTAATGCTGATAAATATCCTAACACATCAGACAAAATGTCTCTTTGTTTAAAACAGCCAGAGACTCCGGAATTGTTACACAGTTTACTGTATGATGTTTAAAAATAAATTACAATAATTATTAATTATTAATTATAATAAAAATTCATGATAATAAATTTAACAGACATCTAAAAATTTTTTTAACAATTAAATTATAATGAAAAAAATTTCAGTAGAAATTAAAAAAAATATTATAAGTACGAATTTTTAAAAACATAAAAAAATTTTTTTTTTATAAAAAAAATGGGCATTTTTATGACAATTAATTTATTAAAAATTTTAAACAATTTTATTTTTTAGGTACACGGTAAGAACAAGATGACACTGGATATCATCCCAGATTATACTCTGTGGTGAAAAAAATTTCAGATTGTAGCTAAAAAAATCCAAATTATACTGCGTGATATCTAGATTATACTAATTGTAATCTGGATTATACTAGCTACTATCTAAAAAATTTTTTCACTCAGTATAATCTGGGATGATATCCAGTGTCATCTTGTTCTTTCCGTGTATGAAAATAAAAATTTTTGTTAGTGATTTTTTTTTTTTTTAAAGTTTTTTTGATTTGGGAAAAAAAAAAATTTCGGATGAAAATTTGCAAGTTGTTTTTATAAAATTATTTTTTTCAAAATAATAAAAATTTTTTTTTTTTAAATAGTCACTAAGAAAAATTTTTATTTCTTCAGCTAAGAAATAAAATTGTTCAAAATTTTAAACAAATTAATTTCAGTGTATATATTTTATAATAATTAATTGATTATAAAAATGAAAACAATTATCAGATATCTGCTAATTTCCGTATCATAAAAATTAGAATAGTATACATGTTTATTTTTATTTCAACTCTTTTACAATCAATTCAATGAGCTGTTATGCCACTATCACAAATAACCACTCCGAGTACGCAGTGAAAGAAACTATTAATTTTAGTAATTCTAAATAAAAATAATTATCAAAAATTTTTATGTATTTTAAAGTTAATAAACACTGGGTAGAGTTATTAAAAAAAAAGAAAACCAAAAATTAAAGATACAATCGCAATACATAAATATGTCCCGAAGAAACTAAATAAAATTAGCAGTCAAGTATAATTTAGTTCCTCAATTTGATAGTGACTTAGCATCACTCGTTAGTACGCGATTCTATAAAAAAAATTTCCGAGCTTTGCCATCATTTTTTTGCTACTACATTTCCCTTTTATTTTATAATATTTAATATTATATATATTTCATTATATTTACTCTGTTAATCATTATTTGTTTCGATAATAATAATATTGTTTATAACAATTATATTATTAATATTGTTATCATGGTAATTAAATATAAATAGGAATCAATGAAGAATATTAAGTAGTCCAGTATTGGTAGCATAAATAATTCCTTGACCAGCTTGTGGAACCCATCTTATACAATTAAGGCTCATGTAACCAGCGTTCTCGCGATGAACTTGCTGGAGTTCACGTAAAAGCACCATTGATTTCTTGCTGTCCTTTTGATCTTCCTGGTTGCGAGAAGCGTAACGGTTTGAGAGCATCCGAGTGTGTGTGAGAAACGACGGAATGTTGTAGGTTTCGAAGCTGTATGGCAAAAATTGGTCGAGCACTTCGTCCTCGCGAGTCTCCAGGTTCTTTATTTCTTTTTCTGTGGTCTCGTCTTCCAAGGGACGCTCGATGAATTTGTAGATCAGCGCCATTGGGAATTGTCTCAAGGGTGCGTGAACACGACGAGACGCTAGGCCAACTAATAAGTGTCCATGAGTTGGGGATATTGACAGAGATGCTACTGTTTGGTCTACTTTTGTCGAGTGCAGCTGCTTGCCCAGGGTTTCCCATTCGAGACTGTAGATTCCTGGGGAAATTGTTTATTTTTATTTCGGCAAGATTTTTACATACGTTGATTTCTGTTTTTGTTTCTTAATTTTTTTATTATAAACTAGCAACCTCACAGTCACTATGTGACTGCCGTGACTTGTGAACTATAAATAAAATTTTGCTTCATTAAATAATGACTTTTGTGAAATTGCACTGTATTTTCTTAACTATTGACATTTACAAAGATATAAACTCATCCTGATGTTACACTCATCAAGAGCTTTCATTTGAGTACCCACATGCATTTTGATATATTTTTCATACATACATATTTATATATATAATATATATATATATAAATATATGAAAAATTGATATGGGTACTCAAATGAAAGGTCTCGATGAATGTAATGTCGGAATGAGCTTATATCTTTAAAAATGTCAATAGTTCACATGATATTTGTTAAAATGCCCTGTACTTTCTTAATTAGTGACATTTTCAAAGATATAAGCTCATCCTGATGTTACACTCATCAGGAGCTTTCATTTGAGTACCCACATGCATTTTGATATATTTTTGATATATACATATATATAAATATATGAAAAATTGATCCGGGTACTCAAATGAAAGGTCTCGATGAATGTAATGTCGGGATGAGCTTATATCTTTAAAAATGTCAATAGTTCACAAGATACAAGGTCATTTCTTAATTATGTGTCTAGAGATAGAGTATTTTTGAATTCAGCCTCAATACTTATCATATAAATTGAATATCGGTGAGAATAATATGAAACCTTGAAAAAGCATAAATTCAAGTCAAGACTCTTGCAATGATACTAAATTTCACTAAAAAAACCGATTTTATCATATGACTATTTTGGAAACAAAATTTTTCTCATTCTCTTAATAATAATATAGATAAGTATTTATTGTTCTGAAAATTTTTGAATTAGAAGAATAAAAAATGGTAATATTATCAATAAAAATAACATTACTGCCCAACACTGATGCGAATTAATTAATTTAAAGTAAATCATTTTTTTCCTACATAAAAAAACAATAAAAAATAAAAAATTACCTATTGTTGTAGACATATGCATCCGTCCAGACGGCAAAAATGATGCCAAATATTTACCATCCGAAGAAATATCAATATTAGCTTCATTATGAATCTTGCACTCGCGTACAACAATATTTTTCTCAGCTAAAAAAAAAAAAAAACCAATAATTAATAACGAATCAATAATATATTAATATAAATAAATTGTAAATGAACTTACAATCTCTAATATCTGGTATTTTTCCATCCGAAAAGTCCCAAGCTTGAACCCTGTACTTTTGCAGCTCAGAATCATTAAACGCCATTGGAATATGTTCAGTCCTAATCTCAACATCATCATTATCGTCATTAGAAGGGGGCTCTTGGCCATCACCCCGTCCACCATTGATGCCAATACCCATCCCCGCAGCAGCAACGTGTCCTGGGAACCGAGCTCGTGCTATTTCATTCAAATTAATCATCGGTACCCAGGGGGAACTCCGAATAGGATCAATGGGTGGAGACACAAACTCAGGAACCGCGTGATCGGAGCCCTGAGATGATGACGAGTTTGACGAATCTGACTGGACCGCATTTTGTCTCTGGATTCTCGTGGTCAGTATCCGACGCGGAGTCTCGTAAGAAGGTGGTGGTAATCTCAGAAGATGATCACGATGACCTGGCAGGTTGTTGAAGTCGCTTACAGGAACGTTGTTCACCTGGAGAACTGGTACATTCAATTGTTGTCTAGGTGCATCTCGGGATGATGTGATCCGACGAATTGGCAGTGTCCAGCTTGGTTCTGTTGTTGGTTGCCAGAATCTTAGACTAGTCAATCGTGATGATGCACGGTTTAAAAGGACACTAGCACTCAAGCGTCTTATTGCTCGCAATATATCATCTTCATGGACACGCGATTGTCGCGGATAATTACGTGTTCTTGGAAATTCTCTTGCATTATTATTATTATTATTGTTGTTGTTGTTGTTGTTATTGTTATTACTATTAATATTATTATTTATAATATTATTATTATTATTATTATTATTATTATTATTATTATTATTATTATTATTATTGTTATTACTACTGCTACTATTAGCAGGAGCAGCAGTAGCAGAATTTGTTGATTCAGACAGTCGAGTATCATCAACAACTCCGGAAAGCGAGTTAACATTATTCTGAATCCTCTCGATGATACTTTGCAATTCAGCGGACAAAGTACTGCTCTCAGAAGCAATACCTAAGTTTCTTCCCAGTCTTGAAGAATCATTGGCAATAGAAGTTGACGGCGTAGGTGAAATAAAATTACTATTCCCATTGGGATTAATATTACCAACATTGCTACCATTATTAATACTAGCATTATAATTTTGATTTTGACTTTGATAAATCATTGAATTCGGGAACAATCTTTCGAGCCGGTCAGCCATCCTCCGGTACTTCAAAATAACTGGCTTAGGCATTGGAAGGGCATCTGCAGTGCCCAGTAGAAGTCGTGTGGACCTTAAATTGCTGTTTGGCATCGCATCTTGCTGATTATTACTACCACTGGCATTTGTGCCTTCAGGTGGTTCCGATGTTGAGGGCTGCTCGCGTCTTGAACCTCTGCGCTCAGATGCACGATCAGCTTCGGTCGCTTCGCAGTATATTATAATAGACTGGGCTATGACTAAGTCAATCAATTCTAGAGCCAAGCGAATGATGACGTATATGTAGCAGAGTCTCTCGTAAGCTCCGTTCTCGTTTATTTTATTCAAGGTAATTCTTACCTTCTCAAAGGCCCCCAGCAAGCTGTATTGCGTTGACTTACTCCGCATTATCATCAGCATACGATTTGCTGGAGTTCTAGACCTCGACTCGCTTCCATAATCCGGTAAAAAACACCAATAATTAAGCAAGCGCGCGTCCAGAGTGTGAAGCGCCAACCTCAACGGCCGCATGTCGTCGGTCTGATGAACGTAATCTCGAGCGTAAGTTTTTATACGGATATACTCGGCTATTCCAGGAGTAATCCGTCTTACTTCTCCATCTTCATCCAACGAGTCGTTAGAACTCGGAGGGGTCCACTTGCTGACCAGACGATGCGCCAAGCTGGATATCGTCGGCGACTCACTCTCTCGATCTCGAATTGTCAGATTCGAGTAGGTGTGGTCGCTGGTTGAATTTGAGTAAGAGCTAGAACTAAGTCGGGGGTAATTGCCGTCTAGAAAAGAAATAAAGTTTTGGTAAAATAAATTGTCAGCCTCATACTCTTGGGGGATACAGTTCGACAGCTCTTCCAGCATATTGTACTGCTCTGGAGTAAACACTGGACTAGTTTCTCCACTGGTTCTAGGCTCTTGTGTACGATTCGCTAACCAAGATGGCCCAGCAGATGAAGATGAAGCTCCGTGTTGTCGCTCATAATTTTGTATTAGAGCTTTTTTGAAGTTTCTCAGTCGCTCTACTGAAGGCGAATCCTGGCTGTCTCTTGATGTTGAAGCTACTGGGTCGTCGGTGGTGTTTCTTTGGAAATTTCGAGAGTGAAGTGATCGTAATTCTTGGAGAAGCACTTTCCATTTAGATCTTGAAGTCTGATATCTCGTCATGTAGTTTCGGAGTTCTGTTATTTGGACATCAATCCGTGTTCTTGAAGCTCCTGCATATGATTGTGAATTATTATTATTATTATTATTATTATTATTACTACTGCTACCGCTACTACCAATATTCTGATTATTATTATTATTATTATTATTATTATTATTATTATTATTATTATTATTATTATTATTATTATTATTATTATTAGTACTATAATTATTAAATCTAGCAGCAGATTTTTCCCGAAGGAATTGATTAAGAAAAACTCTACAATTATTAGCTCCAAAATTACCCGTTTGCCCATTAGAATTACCTGGAGCATCATTATTAGCATCAGTGTTATCCGAAGCTGCCTGACCCGAAGAAAGGATTCTGTCCATTGAATCCGAGGTATTAGGAGTTTCGTCAACCTGTAAAGCAGACGCAAGTTCCTGAAGAAGAACAGACGATGATGACCCCTGAGCACCGGACTCTGACTGCGAATCCGTTGGATTACTTTCAGGAGCACTAGCCGAGGGTGTCTCGCTGGAGTGTCTTCTCTGCTCTTCATCACACCGCTGCTGGTCACGAAGGCTTCTGAAGGGAAAGAAAGGCGGTTGCTCATAGCGGCTAGCAGTGGTCGAGTAGGGCGATAAAGGAGTCCGGGTGCTCCCAGCTGGACGGTTGTTAGGGCTCGTGCGGATCCAGCGACTGGTCCACCTCAGAGGCGTAGAATTAGAACTGGTCCCCGCGTCATTTGAGTCAGGATTGCTGTTTTCTTGAAGTAACCAGTACCCAATTTCCGATTGCTCAGCAGTGTTTTCTTCGTCTTCAACGCGGTTAGGCTCTCTTGACGTGGAAGCAGAAAACCGAGTAGCTAATCTCGGACTTGAATCGTTATTAGAACTCTGGACTTCTTCTTCCCTGCTAACGCCAGCAATAGTAGATTGAGAGGTTATTCTAGCCTCTTCAGTATCTTCAGCCTCTTCATCGTCCTCTTCTTCCTCAACCTCTCCTTCTCCCTCAGGTTCGTCTTCTTCAACCTCTTCTTCTTCGTCCTCGTGATTAATATCCTCATCCTCAACTTGAGGTGTCTCTCCAGTTTCTTCTTCCTCGTCTTCTTCACCAAAGCCAATTTCATCAACATCCATAAATTCATCTTCATTTAACAGCATTTCATTTTCATCATTACGATTGTCATTACTGTGTCCAGATGTACTTGGACCAGGATTACTTTCAGAATTAGAATTATTGGAATCATTCGAACCATTATTTTGCTGAGTATTTAATCTCTGAGCAATCATCAAAGCCATCCACAGAGAATTATCACTGTTTGTTGTCCCAACTGTCGAAGTTGTTGCTGCTGCTGTAGTAGTTGATGGTGGTGGAGGTGGTGGTGGTGGTGGTTGCGAGCCCTGATTCTGATTAGCATTTGAATTAGACTGTCGCGGCGAGGAACTATTGGAAGAATCTTGACTTTGATTATTGAGGGTATTTCTCGGAACACTTGGCTGAAAGGCAGAATGTGACGAGATAGTAAATATTGATAATACAGGATGTGGCACTTGTGCAAATTGTCCTTCTTCACTAGACGTCGAATTATCAGGAGTTGCTTCAGAATAATGACCATTATTTCTTATCTCACTACCAGCGGTATCGTCCGTGGTATCTCTCCGTAATCTTCTTCGTGGAGGTTCCTCGTCCCCGGGATCACTGTTGCTAGGCTCAAAAAGTCGCCGGTTAGAAGTACCTGGATTGCGTCTCCCCGATTGATTCCCAGAGCTGCCAGCGAGCCTCGATGATGATGACGATGATAAAGGATTATCAGGGTTCCGTGAATCACTTTGAAAAGTGGGAGATGAATTGTAATCACTTCGAGAATTTCTCTCATACAAAGAAATAACTTCCGGAGAAATACCAATTAGCCGGTTAAGTTTCGTCCAATAAATCACTCTCTCAGCATTGGCAGACGGATAGTAAGGTATTGACCTGGCTGACAATTGCAAGAATAATTGTCTCAATTGCTCAATCCTGTAATTAGCCATTCGAAATTGATTTTCAAGATTTCTTAGCTCACGCAATTCAATATCCAGCGAAGCTCTGATCGAGCGGTTCAATCCTCTGCGTTCCTCACCAATGTAAGCCGTCGCATGGACTTCTAATCTCACACGAAGATTACGAAGCCTCGATAAATAATTACAATTATTAGCACTTGTAATCTGAATAGCTCTGCGCAATTCCCAGAGGCTACCATAAGCTCGCTGCCGACGAAGATGCTGAAACACAAGAGCTACATGGTCATAAGAAGTAGGAAGCTGATGAACTCGTAGAATATAACTCAATCGCTGAGTTCTCCCGGCGATGTCGTTGTCTTGCGTTGGCGAGAAATTACGTACTGATTCAGTTTCCAGCCCGTTGTTCGATGGATTGAAGAAAGTATGAACCTGAGCTTCATAATGGTCAATAAGATTTCTGTAGAGTTGATTTAATTGGAGCTCTGCCCATAAATAAATCAACTGTCTATCACAATCAGTGCGATCATCTTCAGCCAGCCGCCTAGGAGTCGGAAGACTGTTTGACGAAGACGGTGAAGTTGACAGCGACATAGTCGGGACTGGAGGAAGAATTCCCTCTTCAGCTAACTCACGCCAGCGAGCTTCGCGTGGAGCAAAAGAAAAATAATGCCTAGCACTGCGGAGTCCGCTGCGATTACGGTCTATCTCATAGAAAATGTCTTCCAACATCAGCTGAGGTACCCTGCGAATATCCGCCAGGTGTCTCAGCACTCTCCGCAAAATTGAACCAAGATAGTACGGATGCGTGTTTGGTAGACGATGACCTGGTTGTTCAGCTCCCAACGCTTCATTGTTTTGCGACAGCAAATTATTCCGACGGACTTCTATGGTCACGTTGCCTTGCTCGACGTTACCGTTATCATTGATTCTCCCTAGGAGCCTCGCAGCAGCTGTCGGAAGGTGTCTATCCCTCAAGAAGTTGCGCATCGTCGGAGAATTTGTGAACTCATCGTCATCTGGATTAGCCGGAGCAGAGTTTTGTCTGCTGGTAGTTCTTACTCTATACAGATCGTCAAAGCTGATGTAAGTCGGGTATCTATTGGCTGATAATTCTGGCAGGCGGTTGCTGAAGTCATTCCAAATGTTTATACCCAGGGGAATCCGATGGTGGTTGTTCGCAGACGAGTTTGGATCCGGTCTTTCGTACTGAATCCTGTAGTCCGGTCTCAATAGCCGTCTGTTGAGGTGGTCATTCGGAGGACGATCCCACTGGGACTGTGAGTGAAGTGTGTTGGCGATTCCCGTTATTAGCTTTCTTCCCAATCGATCAAACGCTACGAAACGGACCTTTTCCGAGTCGCTGCGAGTTGACGCTACGGCAAACGGCTCCGAGTTACGCCAGTCCCAGAAATGGATCTGGTTGTGGGTTGCTATTATTAGAAGACGCTCGGATGGGTGGAAAGCCAGCGAGGTGATTGCTGTTGAGTTACCAGAGCTCCAGACTTCGCTTCCTCCTTGGAAGTCCCAGACTCTTACTTGTCCACCGAGACACCCTGTGGCTACCAATTCGCTGGAAGGATGAAATGCTATGCACCATGGAGATCGTGGATGTCCAGTCAGGGTTTTTATGTTCTTCCCTGTTGTCAGGTCTGTTATACAGACGCTTTTGTTCCCGTGAGTCGATGCCACCTTTTTTCTGTGGAAGTTTTTTATGCTTTATTACAGTTTGGGGCGTTTTAAGGTTATTTACTGGAAATTACGTACCCGTCTGAACTGAATACCATTAAATAAGTTGCTCGAGGGGATCCAGGAATATTACATTTCTGAAATATAATGAATGGTATTTAGTTGATTTTATGAATAGATGCTATTGTAAGTACTTATTTATGAGTCATGAGTGACAATAAAAATAAATAAAAATATTTACCATTTCCTCATGATCTTTGAGAACAAGATTTGTTTCTGCGAGGAATTCAAATGACTTAGTATTAGCACTACCTTTGGTTCCAATTCCAATATCACGATGAATAAAATTTTGCATTAGATTGCGTTTGCGTCGTGGTGGAATTTTATCGTTAGGCTGATCCATTTTTTTCTTTTTACACCCGTTACACTCCTACAATAAAATTGTCATCATAATAAACATGTATAACGGAGACAAGATATGAAATGTTTTTTATTTTTTTAATAACCAATAATTTGTTTAAATAAACGGAGTAATAAAATAATTATTGTAGTATAAATACCTCCATAATTCAGCCGTGATGAAAATAAATGGATAAAACTATAGGTTTATTGAATTTTTTACAGCATTTTAAAAATCAGCTGGTGTATTTACAATGTTATTAAAATGTGTCATGATGGCATATGAAATTATAGATGTTTGATTGCACTCAAAATTAAAAAAATATGTATACTTATTTATGTATGCATGATTTTTTATCACTTAAATTTACATACGTTATTCAATGATTCGCAAACAACTCGATTCTGTGCTATGCAATCAAGTCGACATGTAACGACACTAGACACAAGACGAAGACCTAGGACACTAGAGCAAGATCAAAACGCCATGCCCATCGGGCCCATTAGTGTAGGTCTGGGTCCACCTGGTGCTGACACTTTTTACACTTTCGCGACTGGATTTTAAAACATGACTTGACAAAAAAATTTACTGGTAGAAGATAAAATAAAAAACTGAATTGGCTGCTGGGAAATTTATCAAGTGTTTATAGATGGCGTTTTTGCAATTCAAATTTTTTTAATATTTATTATTATTATTATTTATTTTTCATACTAGCAAAAAATATGAGAAATATTTTTTTTTTCTGAATAATTTTATTTCTTTTTAAAAATAAAAAAAAAAAAGAAATAAATTTTTTTTTTTGACGTCTTTAGACAAATTTAAAAAATAAAAAAATTTATGAAAATTAATTTAGCCGACATTTAATAATTTTTAAATTTTTGTAACAAATAAATTATGGTAAAAAAATTAGGAAAAAAAAAATGACATCTAGAAATTTAAAAAAATTAAAAATGCAATTTTTTTAAATAATTTTTTAGAACAAATTTGTTTGTTAAAAAAAATTTTTTAAATTGTCAATTGACTGCTCTTTAATGTCATAAAAATTTAATCATGTCTTCTTAATTTTAACAATAATAATAATAACACACAAATTAAAATTACCGCGCGTAAAAATTGTAAAAATACCCATGCGCAAGATTCTGCGCAGAGTTTAAAAAAAAGTAGTGGCGCCATTACGTCGTTCCGCGCAATAGAACCGGGCCCCCACTCCAAGCTTGTAATGTTGTCATTGTCAGTGACCAGTCCAGTCGGTTTCGGTATTGGCTATTGTAGCCTGTCTTATTTCGGTGATTCCAAGTATTAAAGCGTATATTCTTAAAATTGACATTTAATTAAAAGTAAATAAAAAACAATAACAATAATATTTATGTTACTAATTGTGAAAAGTTATCACAGTGACTTACAAATGTGTTTGGATGATTAAAAAACAGTGAATATTATAAATAATAAAAAAAAAAAAAACTCTGTCAACAATAGCAGGTGAGGATAAAAATACTAAAAATTACCATACAAAAATACATCTACATAATATGATCCTGAATATAATGTACAATAATAATAACTGTAAGTAAATAAAATAAGACGCACAAGCTTTTTAAAATTACAATGAATAAAGAAGTATATTGTCTTTATATTTATGTTATGTGGATATACACAAAAGACACCAATTGTAATGCATGATTCCATACAATGTCCGTATACATAAAATATATGACACTGCAGATACAAGCGTATCTACCAAGTATACAATCTAAGGCACGCGGATACGCTTCTTGTGTTTTATTATGTAATTTATAATATAATATAATAACATAAAAATATTTCAGAACCGTGAGATTAATTTATTGGCTGTTTGCGCTGACGTTTGTCATCGGATTGGTCATCCCGAGTGTTATTAACATCATCATCATCACCGTAAACATCTTGATCATCATCATAATTCACGTCTTCGTTAGCGTCAACATCATCTTCAGCTTGAAGAATTTTTTTACGCCGGAATCTGATTGGTTGGAGACTGCTCCACTGGAGAAAACTGAGCTCTCGGCGACGGGCTTGGGTCTCTTCGTCGATCTTGGTAAGAAGAATAGGACCTGTGACCATCATTATGATCGCTCCCAGGGGCGCCAGGAACAGAATAGATACCACTGACATCCTGACGATATCCGTAGCCAGGGACATTATTTCTGGATGGTCAATCTGCCCAGCACTCTCAAGTGCCAACGGCGCCAGTGTGGCCTGAAATAATCCCCAGTTAATTAGGTATGTACTTTGCTCTGTTATACTAATTTATATTCATGATTTGCAATTAATAATTGATAATTGATAATGACAATTAATAATTAAGCGGTATAAAGTAGTATGCTAAACACGGAATTATTTACCGAGTGGGCACACAGCAGGGAGCGGATAAAAATTAAAAAGGTTTAAATGGAACGCGGAAAATCGATAGAGCTATATAACGCCGAGTGAAAAAGCAATTAATATGTTAGCGTGTATGTTAGTTTACTCAATTGCGCTCAGCTTCGTTGGCTCTATATTCTATTTTAATTGATATGCTATGTATTCTAATTGACATTTATTCATTTTATCTATAGGCACCCAGATAGATAATTAAATATGTAGGTGAGTAGGTACCTCAACCTCTAACTGGACTGTTCATTTTTAATAGCCATGGTAATTAATAATAACCGATAATTAATTTACCTGGAGGCTGCCTTTTGGTAGCCACGCCAATGCTACAAATATCCGTTCTTTCATCGTGAAATCGGTTCCTTGGGTCGAGAGAATCGCGGCCGAGCTTCGTATCTGCGAAAATAAAAGTTTTATTAAACAAAGCGGGGAAGTCCATGTAAAAGCCTCAAAATCGTTCATTTTTTTTTAATATTTTTAAAGGTGATAAAATAATTTTAGTGTTTTTCAATGAAAATTAAGTTAGCCGACATTTAAAAATTTTTATAATTTTTTTTTATTGAAAAAATCATTACAAAAAAATAAAAAAAAAATTGCACGTCTAAAAAACTTCAAAAACTGTAAGTGCAATTTTAAAAAAAATTTTTTTTGTTCTAATTTGATTATTAAAAAAAAAAAATCAAAAAATTTAGAACGTCGGTTAACTTTAATGACATTATTTTTAAACTTTAACACAACTTTATTGAACCTTTCTAGAGTACAAAAGTAATTTTTTTTTCATTTCAAAATGGCGGCTAAGGATAATTTTTTTTGTTTGCTGCCTCCAATGCGAGGTCCCAAGCTGCTCTATTTATCACTCATTAATCATTGATTTGAAACAAAAAAATTAAAGTGTTTTCTTTTTAGAACATATTAACGGAAAGGATAAACCTTTAAAATTAAAAAAAAAAAGTACAAAATAATCCTTTGAAAAAAAAGTCAGAGTTTGAGGCTATTTTTTGGACATTTTTGGCCTCAAAAAAGTATTTTATCAACCTAAAATATCAGTACATGCTCAACATATTATATTTTCAGATTATTGAAAAAAAAAAATTGATTTTTTGAAAATTTTAAATTCTAAAATCGATGATGATGGTGTGCGTTAAATATAGAGTTGTTAAAGGTTTTGCGTTGAAGGGCAAAGTAACGGTTCAGCCAATGTGAGGATGGTATAGTTTTGTAGTAAAGCAAGAGAGAAGAGAGAAGAAAGAAGAATGAAGAGTGAAGGTAAAGAACAATATAATCCGGTGGAGAGAAAAAGAAGAAATGGAAGAAGCTATACTATGGATGGATACGTATGAATACGTATAAGGGAGTGAGATGAAAAAAACCCACGGCAGCAGCTGTATGGGGTAGGTAATGGCCTGGAGCACACACAATATACTGTATTGGTGAGTAGTAGTGTGGAGTGTGGAGTAAGAGAGACTTGACGCCCATATTTCTGCTCCTTGCAATACGTTTTGAATTATACACACTGAGCAGGATGGGTTTGCGCTTATAATTCCCATGGGTGATATATAGCCGTAAATCGATGACACGCGACTGGTATGCTACTGTTTTGTGTCGGTGATGCTCTATAATACTCACCAGGAGCCCCAGGAGAATACAGGAAATATGGAGCCCAAATCGCTGTGACGACCATAGCGTTAAGTCCATTTCGGCACCAATTACTCCCAGCAGGACAGGCTGCATAAAGTGCCATATGAAGAAGAGCGTTTTTTGGAATGGCCTTACGTTGAAGGGATTCCCAGAAAGCTGCTTCCAGATGGAACTTGAGACAAATGACATACACATTGTAGCTAGATAACCACCTCCGGTTTCAGTCATCATACTTGCCCCAGAAGTGAACATTAACGAGCCCATTATCAGACCCGCTATGCGATAAAATGTTACGTATTTCTGGAAAAAATCGTTTTGTTAGTATAATCGTCGGTGAATTTTTTATAGAGACAAAAAGTATGGATGTTGGATAAAAATTTAGTATGATTTCATATAAAATACTTTTGTTTATCTAGTTCAAGTCGGATTACTATCATAATTAAATTTAGTAGTTTGTTGTACTAAATTTTTATCGTACAAAGTACCCGCGGGTACTAAGCCCTAATTGAGGTATTTTGTAATGAAAAAAAAAAGTATCGATAAATTTTGATGTTAATTATTGTTTAAGAATATTTTATATGAAATATTAACAAAAAATGGTTATTTTTATCACAAAGAAAAATAAAATTAAATATTTAAAGTGTATCAAGGTAATAAAGACTATTTTTGAATAATTATATTAATTTTTAAATTATACTGTCATTAATAATTTTAAATATTAAAAATTTTTACACTATCCATTTTTTGTTGATATTAAAAAAAAAATTACTTGAATAGTAATTAACGTAAAAAATATTTGGTTCAATATATTTTTCATTTTATCACAAATATTTGTTATCCAAACTGGTACTTAACTTTTTTCTCAGTGTTTTAAAATTACCCTTAAAATTGAAACAATAACTGCTGTTACGTCGGAATATATAAACTAAAATACGTATGAGTAAAAATATGTAAATAGTTACCGCATTTCGGTAAGGTAAAAAACCAAATATAAATCCTAACGCTACTCCAACTAAAAGTCCAACAACAACGTCCCGTAATCCTCCTGGTATATATTTCCAGAAGTTTTTTCTACCATCTGTATGAAAGAGTACATATTTATTTATAGTAACTAGATGTTTGAAGAGATATATGTAAACATGTACAGAAGAATAAAATATAAAAGACGTAACGGGTAACTAGGATAATATGATAATATGAGGTTACCTTCGCTAAACACAAGGGTGAAGCATATTGAGAACATTGAAATCACGTGTATGCTATCAATAGAAGTCGCTGTCGAAAGGATACCAGCCAGATCTTTATCTTCGCCGTAGCCCTTTTCAGCTAATGCCAGTATACAATTGACAGTAACGACGGGTGACAGCCCGGTCATAATTGTTCTGCAAATTACCATTTTCATTTCAATAATGAATGGCTTCGAGCAATGACGTCAAAGCCGGTGTATATATAGATCATTAGCTGATAGCCGATATAATACAGGTAGAGTAATGATAATAATACACACTATTTACTAGCATACATGTATAATTCCAGATATTATAATTTAATTGAATAATTTGTAGTGTTACCCGGCGAGAAATGACCAATCCCAGGGATACTGAAGAATATATCTGCTGCAGAGACCAATAATTATTATTTCAAACGTTGACGGAAGAAGTCCTAGCATCAGCAGAAAAAGAGGCTGGCTTCTTAATGCAGTGGTTGTCAGCTGGAGACCGCCTCTGATCATCAGGAAAGTTACGCAGAAAGTCCGTATCTTGGTGGTGGTTTTAAGGGGGATGTGGTCGTGAATTTTGTAAAATCCACTGCTCCGGAAAATAATTCCTGCCAGCAGCATACCAAACACTGGCGGTATATGGAGGAACGGGATGTACGTGAGACTCCAACCGAGTGCGTAGGCGACCACCACCATCCAGAATAAACCGAATAAGGACCCGCCCGGCAGCATTAGCTCGCTCATCAGGAAGTACAGTGTTGAATAGGTCACTGCCACTAATATGAGGCTTGTCAATAACCACGAAAGACTTGACCAGGTGACGCAATTGTAAGGCATTGTAAAGCAATTCGATATCGGATTGTAGATCCAGATGTATCGAAGTTTTGAGTGGCACCAAACCGCTCTTCCACAACAAGTTTCTTCCTCCGGGTAGCGCCGGGTTTCATCGTCAGGTTGTCTCTGCAATGTACTGATAAATTTTTTGGTGCATTCTGTATTTCATCGATTGGCTGATGCTATTTTATGATACTATTTCGGAGATTGGTTTAAAAATTAATTTTGTTTAAGAAAAGAAGTTTTAACAACTGCATTTATTTTTAAGAATTTTAATATTTTAACTAGCAACCTTGTAGTCAATATGTGACTACCGTGAACTATAAATAAACAAAAATTTAGCTTCATTAAATAATGACTTTGTTAAATTGCACTGTATTTTCTTAATTTTCGACATTTTAAAAGATATAAGCTCGTCCCGATGGTACACTCATCAAGAGCTTTCATTTGAGTACCCACATGCATTTTGATCTATTTTTGATATATACATATATATAATATATATATAAATATATGAAAAATTGTTGTGGGTACTCAAATGAAAGGTCTCGATGATTCTAATGTCGGGATGAGTTTATATCTTTAACAATGTCAATAGTTCACAAGATATTTGTTAAAATGCCCTGTACTTTCTTAACTATTGACGCTTTTAAAGATATAAGCTCATCCCGATGTTACACTCATCAAGAGCTTTCATTTGAGTACCCACATGCATTTTGATATATTTTTCATATATAATATATATAAATATATGAAAAATTGATATGGGTACTCAAATGAAAGGTCTCGATGAGTGTAACATCGAGATGAGTTTATATCTTTAAAAACGTCTATAGTTCACAAGATACAAGGTCATTTCTTAATTATGTGTCTAGAGACAGAGTATTTTTTAATTCAGCCTAAATACTTATCATATAAATTGAATATCGACGAAAATAATATGAAACCTTGAAAAGGCACAGATTCAAGTCAAGACCTTTGCAATGACACTAAATTTCACTAAAAAAACCGATTTTATCATATGACTATCCTGGAGACAAAATTTTTATCATTCTCTAAATAATATAGATTATTTAGAAGAAAATTATTGAATAATCTTCAAACTCTTTAAAATTATTTTTTTATTATTTATAATTAATATTTTATTATTTTTTTTTTTTTAATCAAATTAATTTTTTTATCAGTGAAAAAGTGACATTTTTAAAAATTCAAAATAAATCTGTAATTAGAAAAAAGGTTACGTAATTGTAATTTCACTGAGAAAATTAGCAATTACATGTCAGTGATATTAATTTGTAAACTATCGTATTAAAAGGTTAAAATTACCAAATTTAACTGGTAATTGACAGCTGTAATTAAATAATTAATCGCCGAAAGACATCCCAGCAAAATTACTTTTTCCAATTACCACAACAATTTTTTCCCAAATTTATCACTAAAAGTATAACACAATTATGACATTCCCAGAAAAAAAAGCCTCGAGAAGTATCTAATCGTTCTCGAAGCCCTTTGAAATGGTCCCCATAACCAAACCTCGTGATCAATTAACGTGATTAATGTAAGTGTCATATATAAAATAACAAAAAATCTAATAAATAAAAATAAAACACCTGAAATCCTCTTCGACGATATCTATTGTCTCGTTTATTTCAACGGTCACTCGTCGTTCCATTTGATTAGTAATTTAACCAATAAACATTTGTCATTTCCTCCTTTATTTAAATATTATTCAATCAATTGTTCCGTCCTCATAATCTCATTTGACATTTAATCAAGCTTCAATTTTTTTTTCTACTCACACATATACATACATTTACATTTACATATACATATTTACGTCTTCAGGCATCAACATCTACATCGACAAATTGCAGCAACAGCTGGATGGATTCAACCCTCGTATATTTATAATATCCCAAGTCAAATCAGGGATAACTGAAAAAAGAATAAAGAAAAAAAAATGAATAACTTGTCGTGGAATATATAAAATAATAAAAGTAAGAGGCAGAGGGACAAATAAGAGGGAAAAGAGTAACTACCTTGAACTTTTCATTTCTTCATCTTCAGCCTCTACAAATTTATTCCGGTATATTTTGTTTTCCATCATTTATCATTCATTTTACATTTATATTTATACATAAATATTTACCTTTCTGTTTATTTAAACTTTTGTTTATTTTTTTTAGCAACAATACCACTCGGGTCGTCCTCCCTGCTCAGACTTTATTCGGATTAGGAATCAGGCTTCGTTGTATAGATATATCTCCAAGTCCGGGTAAAATCCCTCGAGTATTCTATCCACTGCGCGCAAGCTTCGTCTTCGTCTTGTACTTGGCCGTATCCGTAATACCATAGTAATAGTAATAGTAACAGTCCTATACTCTCTTCTACAACTTCTACTCTTGTCTATCCACCGTCAGCGGGTGTTGGCGCACCTTTTGGTAGATCCCTCGCGCCGACGCCACCACTTTCACCCACATAACTACATCTCTTTCTCGACAGTGAGAGGCTAAAACCATGCCGACCCCCCTGGGGACTAACAGTCTTCTCTGAACTCTCGTCGCCGTCGGTATACCCTCGATATACAATTGCTATTACTATCTATACTACTAAGATTACACCAACACTATCTACGATAATCGGTGAACGTTGCATCGGTAACGTGAGTGTTTTGTGTGTCCTTTCACCCCTGTCCAGGTTTAGGGACAGCTCCAAGTCACGTAATTCCTGTTTAATTATTTTCGGATATAACTTTCGACATTTGGGGTTTCCTAAATTGACCGTCACCTGCTTGTGTGTTTTATTTTTTTTTTTTTTACTTAATTTTTATTCTTATTTAATTGTGAATGCTAAAGTTGTCACTTGCTGTTAATGTTTCAGAATAAACCCTGTCCTATGTTTATTTCACACACTGATCCTTTGTCCTGGTCCTTTGGATGAGGATAATTTATCAGATCACGTGTCGCAATTCGGAATTAGTGAATAGACAAAATTGTGCATCAGGAAGATTTTTATTGATGGAGAATATAATGCTGAAGAGTATCAAGAGAAGATAAGTTAAGCGAAACGTCAGCGACTATTAAAGAGGTAACTTTTTAAACATTTTAATTTAATGATAAATTTTAGTCTTAGATATTTTATACTTTACTAAGTAATATAGGTAGGTAGAGTATGAAATATATTTGTCTGATAGTTATTATACGAGGGATAAATTATGCAGAGGAAGAATAGGAATGAAAGTAGTGGAAAACGTAGGGAGCTTGAGTATAGAATATGAGTGAAATAAACAGAAAAAAAAAAAAGGTAAATAAAAAAAGATAAGGGAAGATATTATATGATATGAAGAGAGAATAGAGATGAAGAGAGTGGCACTCAGCAGCATCGAGTAAAATGGAATCTTTTGAAAGTTTAATATCGCTCAAGTGTACCGTACGAAAACGTCGATATCTATTTTCGTTTTGGGCTAGTGTAGCGCACAAGTCACTACTCCGACAAGTCCGACAAGTGGATTTAAGGTTATTCAACTTACTCATTGATCGTTTTGTCAAGGAGATGATATTATTTTTACTCTACTACACTTTTACGTTTTTACAACTGAGCTTGATGAAGAAAGGAAAGGGTCAAGGAATACAGAAACCGGTGATTAGTCCGGCGGTATCATAAACAGCCTTTATCGGTGTAATAACCTAATACACTAGTACAGTAGAATAAACGGTGTGACGTTGGTAATAATCCGTCAACCCCAGACTCGGCAGTAATGCCCACGGATTGCGCTTATGAAACGATTAACAGCCACTCCTAATTCTGTTTCACCTCCCCTGGTCTCGATCCTCAGTCAGGAAACAGAATAATAATCAAACGGGTTATCGAACAGTGTAATGGAAAATTTGACGACAATCTAATTGAAATCCCTGATAGCTGGCAAGTGCTTTTGGGTTTGGTGGGACTATTAACCACTCGGATAATTTATTTCGAATGATGCAGATTGTGCCCGGCAGCGTCTTGTTAAAAGTAATAAAAAATCTCGAGTCACTGGCTCGGATAGATGCCTGAAGGGGATACCGATATTTATCTGGATACTCTGTGCTATATATGCTGTATAAAATGCCTTTTTTATGGCTAGGCACTAGTCGGGGCAAGGGTCTTATTGCTGGATAGAAGCTACAAGATAAATTCGTGGCAACACGCAAGATATATTAAGCCAGATTTATTCGCCTTGGTTAATAAATCATCCTTCGCTTTTTTTTACCGTTAGAAAATTTTAATAACTTACTTCTTGTAACTATTACGAGCACCACCCTATAATGACCTTAGAAATTAGGGCAATATGCTGGTATGGTTTGGGTTGTTTGTTATTATACAACCAAGAAACCACTTAGCGTTAAATAGTGATTAATATGCGATCAATATATCGGAATCTGGTTGGCTCGAGCTTTCGGTCGCTATTTAAGCAGCTGGGTATTTTTGTCATTATGTTATTATTATTATTATTATTATTATTATTATTATTATTATTATTATTATTATTATTATTATTATTACTGAGGTTATTATTACTGGTGGTATTGTTATTATTGTTGAGGGTATAGATTATATGTTCATGAAAGGCCGGGGAAGGCTAAACAATGCTAAATAATTCACTTTTGTTGACACCTAAAGGTTGTAATAAGAAAGGCGAAAAATTTATTTCAATTCTTTGGGGAAATTGAAAATTTTTATTAAGATAAATGTTTTCAAATTTAAATTGAAAAATTTTTTTAGAATTATTTATTGTCTTTATGAAATAATTTCAAGATTTATTCTGATCAATATTGGTTAATTATAAAATGACACTTTATGTCGCTTCAGTAATCTTCATCAATTATTCAAATCTATCAAAAAATAATCACGTGTAATTGACAAAATGTTTAAAAATTCACTTTGTTAAATTCATATTAAAAGAGATAATAATTTTATATAATTTCAAATTGTTGAGAGAGGGATAAAGAAATTTCAAAGTAGATTACAGTAATTTAAAATATTGAAATTTTTATATAATAAAAAAAAATAATACTATTGACAAAGCGAATAATAATAATTATCCAATTGGTTGAGTTAAGAGGATGCAAAAAATAAAAAATATTAGTTATATTTACGCATTTATTATTATATTGGATTTTACAATCGCTTTGGGCATTGTAACGAAATAAATAACAAAATGATGAAGGTATAAATGAATATTTAATTTTTAAATTATAATTTAAAACAACCACAAAAACGAAGAGCAGATAACAATTCAAATAATTTCCACGTGGTTAAAGGATGCGGTATCAAGAGTTAAAATAGTTGTTAGCGAATCGATTGCAATTTTGGTGTGAATATTTTACAATTGCCTTAGGCGCTGTTACAAAATTTATCGCGTATCACGGAATAATAACAAAGTTAAATAACAAATCAAACTTTATTTATAAACTGGTAACAACCCTCGTTTGGTTAAACACAGTTTTGCTTTACACATCATGCTATTAGATGTAAAGCTAACTTAAAAGAATTTTTAAAAATTCATTGCAGAATATTGATATTTAAGTTTTTTTTTTAATATTTATTTATTTTAAGTGTAAAAAAAATAATTTTAAGCTAAGTTATTATTATTTAATAAAGAATTAGTTATTATTTTTAGCCTAGATACCCGATCCAATTTGAAGACTTCTCAATTTTTATTATAAATTTTTCACCACAATATTTTTGGTATGAAATTTCATACTGTCCTCAGGTGAAAATACAATAATTAAAATTTTGATTTCAAGACAAATTTATTCGAATTTTTTAAAGATGGAATTTGTTTACTCACTGAAACTTTTTTTCGTTAACCGAAAAAAAAAAATAATAATAATAATTATTATTATTAAGCTCCAATTTCCCAAAAATCTAGAATAATGTAATGTAACGTTTTATTTAATTGATCGTAGGACTATGTCCCCTGACGACCATAAGGTTACAAAAAATAATAATAGTACAGATGCACTCGAAGGTGCTATTAGTAGAAATAAGTAATAATATATAAATAATATAATATAATTGTATAATAGCTGTTTTAGGTCTCTTAGCTTTCAATTGCACGTTTTGAGTAATAAGATTTCAGTTACAGTTTTTGATTTTAATTTTAAACTTAAAATTGGAGCTTAATTAAAAATTTGAAAATTCGAATTGCCCTTGACGTTTAGCATTGTAAATTTAAAAATTGACAAATATTAGATAATATTGCACTATGATTTTAATTTGATAGAAATTTATCTAGTCACACTTCACTCGTTGAATCTGAATCTGAGATCTTCTCTTTCCAAGTCTTGTAGGTATTTGAAGCACTGTACTTTGAATTAATAATAATAATAATAATAATAACTTTTACCCTAAATAAAAAATATTGATTTCCACCAAATATTTAGTATGACTAATAGTTATGGTTATGAATGACCATTCAAACAATATTTTAACCTCCGAATTCAACATTTTCCCCTTGAGTATCGATTTTTAGCCTCGAACCCTAACATATTAACAATAAAAATGTGGCTATTACGTCCTAATGAAAGATTTGTAGACACCAGTGAAATATACCAAGTCTCTCCCACTTCCATTTAGTTTGGTGTGAACAAATGAGACGTTTTAATAAGCTGTCGTAAGAGAAACGGTAAA